AGTGTTTTGATAAAAGCAAGATTTAACCATAAAATTTGTTATGGAATGTAGCAGAAATCAAATATTCTTGATCCTTAGGTTATGGGTAACAACTTTCTTAAAAAAATTCCGGAATAGGGGCACGTGAGCCCGGGGAAGAATTTTAGGAACCACGCATTTACTGTTGGGAAATTACTTTAATATTTAGAATATGAACTCTTGAGCATGTATTTACTTGTTCTTACCTCATTTCAATAATTTTGGATCATTCGACTCCGATTTGAGGGTTTAAGCGCATTCTTGAATTTGGAAGTGAGCTTTGGGACGAGGTGAGTCTCCTTTCTAACCTTGTAAGAGAAAATTAACCACATAGGTGAATTAAATAAATGTATGTGGCTATCTGTGGGGGCTACATACGTACGTGGTGACGAGAGTCCATACGTAGCTACTATTATGCTAATTGTCCGGGTAGTTTAGGACCCGTATCATACTACACTTGCAAATGCTTGCGTCCTTACTTGCTACTAAGATCACTTAGGACATGCTAGAAATTGGTAAATAAATATAGATGGTTATACTCACTTACTTGAGAACTTGTATGAATTATTTGACTATAAATGAGCAATGTGTGCTTACTTGATAATAAATTGCTATTTGTGGATCGAGTCGATCACCTCGGTAGAAAATAGATGCATATATGGTTCGCGTCATTCGATCATCTGGCAGTGCACACTTTATTATTATATTGGACCATGTCGTATGACCTCAACACAATGTGCGCATGTTATTTGTATGGAACTTTCCATGAATTACCTCGCTTAAATGCTTTGAAATGTAACTTATTACATGACATGACTTAAATTAATATGTTGTTAGAAAGGGATATATTATTTCTCCTTGTTCTTGGACTATCATTATATTCATGCTATTCATGTTTAGCGTAACACTTAAACTGTATTATTATTGACCCTAGTAGGTGTCAAGTTGACTCCTCGTCACTACTTCTTCGAGGTTAGACGGGATACTTTCTAAGTACATGGTGTTTATGTACTCATACTACGCTTCTATACTTAAATATACAGGATCTGATACAGGTGTATCTAGCTACCTATCAGGCTCGCGTTCCTGATACTTGATTGAGATCTCACGGTGAGCTTCCCCTTCTGAGCCGTTCAACAGCATGCCGGAGTCTCTTCTTTTGTTTATTTACTGTCTATTCTATCTCAGGCAGTAGGATAATTGTATTTTTGGTACATTCTACTAGTTGCCCTAGTACTTGTGACACTAGTTCCTGGCACACACATTTGTAGACTACTATTTTGGATTGTATTTCTATTATTATGATCTTGTTAATTATTGATTGTTTAAAAATTTAAGATTTATTAAAAGTTGGGATGGTTTTGTAAAATAAATGACAACTCACTAGTTGATTAGGCTTGGCTTGCCTAACAACGGCATTGGGCGCCATCACGACCTATAATGGAATTTGGGTCGTGACAGTCTTATTCATAATATTAGACATTTTGAATTTAAATAATTAATAGTAGTAATTTTAAAATTTTGTTACATTTTATTTAATAAAGGATATTTACAATTTTAATTTAGTGATGTTTTAGATTTTTCTATATATTTTAATTTATTTGGATGTGTTGTTTTTGTGTGTGTAGTATATATGTCAATAATGTTTAAGTATATTTTATTAGTAATAAGTTAGCTTTAATGCCTAAATTTTCTTCTATTTAAATAGTAAAAACGAAATAAATAAAAGAGAAAGGAAATAATTAAAAGACAATATTGGACATCATCTACTTAGGTTTAATATGCACATTACGGGGTAATTAAGAATTAGACTCAAAATTTTCTGAACTAAGCGGGCAAAATTCCCTCTCTTTTCTCCCTCCTTTTTTCATAGGGCACGATATCTTTCACAAGGGCCCAATTCCCCCTCCCCAACTCACAAAATCTATCAGGAGGCTCAATTTTCCCTTCCCAACTCGCTAGAAAGATAAGCTCAATTCCCCTTCTTCATCATCTTCTCTACATAGTAAGTCAGTGCAATTCAAAAAATAAAAGATTGTCATGCTCTTTATCTTATTTTCTGTTGCGCTAATTTTTATTTACTTCCCGATGTAGAGTTTGCAATCGAAATTGTTTAAATATTCTTGTGGATCTGTATATTATTACAAGTATTGGGTTAAACTGTGATTCATTATTGTGTGGTCCTTTGTTCTCGAGTTCCTGATTACAAATGAGTGAGTACTTTTAAGAGCCTAGGTTTTTTACCGTGTATTTTGCTCTTCAATTTTGCTTTGATAGTTAAATTTTAATAACAGGAAATCATGTGAGTAATATAGAGTAATTTGTTTCATATTCTCTTATAGCTGTTATTGATATAGATACTAGCAGGATTCATGTATTAGAAGATTTGAGTAAGTTCCTCAAGATATATACGAGATGTTAAAGTAAGCTAGTTGTATATATATTTCATTTGTTATGATATATGTATTTGAATTTGTTATGTTTGTTACTCTAGTTTAAGAAATACTTCTATCATACTCCTTCCCATTTCCCTTTTCATAATGCATGATCTATTCGAGTGCAAAGAAGCATGGTGAAGGAATATATTTCGCTGATGAATATGTGTGCAAAAGTTTCAGGATTACTTACTGATATGATAGTATTGAGGGGTAAGTTATGCTTCTTAACTTGTCTCTTGACCAAGTGTTTGTTTCGTAGAAGGCTTACTTTTTTATATAACAAACTTCTTGGATTATAGGAAGCTACATTTATTAGAAGAACATTTGCAGCATTAAACACCAGTTGAAGTTACAAAGAAATGGTAGCCTTGCGAACAATTAACACAATTGGCTCATTGACATCTTGCTATATATGTGGCTACAGGTAGATGGAAACTTTATATACAAGTCTAAACTCACAATTTATATAAATTGGTGGTGGTTTTCTTAATAAATTAATTGCATATTGATTTTTCTTATCCCTAAGACTACTGCTTACTGCAAAATACAATAATTTTCAGAAACAACAAAGGTCCCTGGCTAATTGATCATGTTATCAATTTTTCCTCTTATGGTGATAGGTGATCCTGCTATCAATTTTTCCAACTCAAATAATATGAAGGGCATATAGTAATTATTTAATTAGCTTAACAATATTATTTTCCTAAAGTTTTAATGGATACTGAGATAGTTAACTGATGAGGAAGAACAACTTAAAGAAACTAATCAAACAAAAATTCTAGAATTCAATTATTGAGATGTCATGTAAGTTGCCCCCAACATTTTCAATCCTTGCACTTCTTTTCCCTGGGTTATGTTAAGTAACTAAGAGTATTTTGTTTCATATTTTTTTGCAGTTATTACTAATATAGATTCTAGTGGAATTCATTCCTTAGAAGAGTTGATAAAGTCCCTCAAGAAACGAGATGTTCAAGTAAGCTGGGAGTATACAAATTCTATATTTTTAGTTAAAGTTTTGGCACTTTTTTTTTTTGCTTCTTTTGCTTGAAGTTAGCTCCAGAAGACTTTGATACTCGTTTGTTTGTTTAACTAATTATTATTCCCCCTCCTATTTTATTAGTTCATTTCTTCTACTTCAGTATTTCAGTGTTTTTAGCGGTCAACTTTGGTGCAAGTTTAACTTCTATTAATCATAGGGCTGGATTGAAGCTTATACTTTATTTTTTTAATTCTAATGTTAGAAAACCTATCGAGGTTGACTTATACTTTAATAATTACATATGTGATATTTTTCATGAATATATAGCTAGAATTTATGCCGCCAAGTAGAATAATTTGTAAGTTTTGTGATGATATATGAGGAAACAACTATGTACTTTAGTTCTTATTCATGTGAGAGTATCTAGCAACTTCTGTTAAATGTTGTTACTTGTTAAGCCAAGTGACAGATTTGTTTGTTAGAAGATTTGGAGCTTTCATTTATTTATGTAACTGGATTTGTCCAACAACGTCTGTATAATGCTATTATGAGAGTATGCTACTTGTTTATAACATCTTCCTCGAATGCTTTTGTTTAATTGTTTCAGCATAGTGATGTGAAGAGCGAGTCTGCTTCACCCGTGGGTGTAAGAGTATCATCAAGTGACGGCAATACAAATCACCAAGCAAGTACTTTGGATTTTTGTATATTTATTCATTGAGGAACTACCCTAGATTGTCTAATATTAAAGTTATTATATACTTTATGTGTTTGTATAACTTTAGTTTTATTTCAATTTGATTTGTAATGTTTGTTACAAACATACAATAGATATTTTAATGAAATTTGTTTTTTGTTGTATGAGTTATTTAGTAAAATTATTTATTGAATCCTAAAATTAAAATCTTTAAATAGGTATTGCAGCATTTATAAACTGCCAATATTAAATATATTTTTTAATGATTGAGTTCAAATTGTGGGGGGTTATAAATCCCCACAAATGATTTTTTTAAAACATTAAGATGATATTATTTGGGTTACAAACTACCACCTATTTGCCTTTGAAAACCGCCACAAATTAAAAATTTATTTTGTGGCGGTCGTCATGGAGGTTTTAGAAAACTGCCACAAAAATGCTCGTGGCGAACATAACTGCGACATTTTTTAAAACTGCCACAAATTAACAAAAAAAACCCACAAAATGAGCCCTTTTTTGTAGTATATATATATATTTGTGACATCTCTTAGCGGTTTCGGAAGAACCAATTGGTGAAACAAATGATTTATTTTCAAATAAAACAATTTGAAAATTTTGTGAACCAAATTTTCTTTACTAAAGTGTTTATTCCCTTTTCTCTAATTTTCTAAGCACCGCGTATATTAGTGGGAAGAGAGATAAACATATTGGATCGCACCCTAATTTTCTCATTTCGTGTACTTGAATCCAATCGATTCAAAGTCAAATCGGTGGACTCGGTAGCACGATATGGCCAACCAAAATCTTTAAACTCAAGGAACTTTGTGTACTTTATGATAACTAGTTTTCAAATTGAAATGCTGCCCTTTAATCTCCATATACCCATTCTCTCAAAGCTTCGCTCTTTAGCCTTTTTTCCTTCACAAAAATTTGCTTTACATGTTACGATGAAGACATACAAACCAAATGGCCGACGTTTCATCATTTCCTCATTTTTCTTTATTATATTCCTTTGCATTCTAGCTTCAATCAATGAAATCCGATTTGACAGCTTTTTGATGTTAGGTAGATGTGCTCTCTCTCCAACACCAAATAGTAATTCTTCTTCTGCTACAGACTTTCTTAGTGTAAATTCCTCCTCCTTGTCCACCAATAACGAAATCCGAATTCTCATAGGAATTTTGACACTTCCCGATCAGTACCAAAAGCGACACTTCCTGCGTCTAATCTATGGAACACAACCTCCAATAACGGGTGCAATCGTTGACATCAAGTTTGTATTCTGCAATCTCACAAAAGAAGATCAAAAGGTATTAGTGGCACTTGAAATAATGCGTTACGACGATATCATCATCCTCAACTGCCAAGAAAATATGAACAAAGGTAAGACGTATACCTATTTTTCCAGCTTGCCAGATCTTTTTTCAGTCTCAGATGACCAGCCATATTATCCACCTTATCATTACGTGATGAAAGCCGACGATGACACATATATAAGGCTTGAGAGTTTTGTAGAATCCCTAAGCCCATTGCCTAGGGAAGATTTGTACTATGGTTATGTTATTCCATGTCCAAGCATGGACCCTTTTGTTCATTACATGTCAGGAATGGGTTATTTAGTGAGTTGGGATATAGCAGAATGGATAAGAGAGTCGGATATTCCTAAAAGTCATTTAGAAGGGCCAGAAGACAAGGTTTTTGGAGAGTGGCTCCGAGATGGTCACCGGGCAAGACATCGGTACAATGCTAAATGGTCTATGTACAATTTCCCCGAGCCGCCGACGAGATGCACGCACGAGCTGTGGCCGGACACGATTGCAGTTCATCTACTGAAGAATCAAGAAAAGTGGATTCAGACCCTCAACTATTTCAATGTCACGAAGGATCTTAAACCATCTAAGTTGTATCATATACCTTAGGCAAACACGTATTTTCCTCTGTTGTCCAGTTAACGTGACAATTTTTCTCTGATGCATTGATATTCAAAGAGAAAGAAGTTGCAGAAATTCATTACACAATCTAGCGTTTAAATTTTTAAGGGGTTTCATAATATCTTAATAACCTAATCATATCTATTTGCAAACCAAAATCAATATGTGATTACCAAAATGAGATCAACTTTTCACGACCTTGAAATTCATGTATGGTGAAGAGTAGGTTACATAGAGCAGTTTCCATTCTCATGCAAATTTACCTAATTAGAAATTACAGATAGGTTTGACAATTTGACCAAAAGTGCAAGCAAGAAGCTACCTAATCTGGAGTGAGACTAAAGTTAGGCTCACTTCCATAACCTTATTTCCGCCAAGATAGAATAAATGCATGTGACTGCAAAGGACACCTAGCGACTTCTAAATTGCAGCGCACGGAAAGGCAATCCCCCCCTCCCCCCCACCCCCCACACCAAAAAACAAAAACTCCAACCACCTACAAAGCATAAAAAAAAATTAGAAATTTAAAAAAAAAATGAAAGATTTGAATATCTAAATACTCCTGACCAAAAAAATTGGCCCCTTTATATTTATTTGTAAAGCTCAATTTTTCTTAACCTCCAGCTTTCTCCACAAAAAAATTCAATATTGTTTTTCTAAATATTATTTAGGAATTAATTTCTATTGTGTCTTTTGTACGGGGTAAAATATGCTCATATTTAATGATCGCATGAAAAAGTGATACGTGGAGCCGAAGACGTGAGAAGACAGTCGGACTTGGAAGAAATGATCTCGCTTGTTATTGGAGAGAATGATATTCATAAAGGCAAAATAAATTTCTGTCACCCGGTAGCATTTAATGAAGAGTATTCTATAGCATTAAGTGCACGGTCCGTTATAGAGAATATGACATTCACTGCTCTACACATTCTTCAATGACCCTCATAATTTTCATTTAAGAGGGGCTTGATCCTAGATCCTTATTCCCTAGGAGTAACTATAAATAGTGAGCGCTGCCATCATTGTAAGGACACGACTTTTCTGACAAGCATACACTATATTCTATCAAAAACTCAATACAATTCTATCTTCTTGCTCATTTATATCGTTATTACTGCCCCCGGAAGCCCCTTCTCTCGGAATTACGTTTTCTGCTATTTTATCTCCATCTCAAGTCTAAATATTATCTTTTAATTTAATTTATTTATCATCTTAGGATAAAATCGATTCGCTTGTCTATAAACTACGTAAAAATTCAACTGTACCATTTTACAGATAAACATTTTGGCGTCCACCGTAGGGCTTAGACAGCTGTGTAATTGAGTTCATCTATTACTTACTCGTTTGATTATTTGTTCTTAGCAAAAAAATTATAAAAATAGCAGATAACAGTGTCAACATCGCACACAACGTTGAGGCCTAAGGAAATCAGCCTCAGCACGATGATTCAATAAGTGATACCCGTAACGAGGAGGATGAGGCCATGCCAGTCCACGACGGACGATATCCGCGACATGTTTGAGAGACGAATCCTGATGATGTTGAAGACGAGCACACCGTCGAAACAATAAGGATCTTGAAAGAGCAACAAGAGGCCATTATAGGCCACCTCACACGAACAGGATAAGGTCATGACATAGCTGAAGCAGGCGTTGTTGGGTGCTTCCAACAACGTGAATGGGCGAGGTCCTTTTCTCCAGATGCTCCAGCAAATCAAAAAATGAAGAGGGAGATAATAACACCCCGAGGGGCGAGTTCGGCATCGATGGGACCAGGGAAACGATGGTGGACCCGGTAACAACAATGAGATTGATCCCTTTAAAACCGAACTTATGTGGTTTGTGAAGGAAATAAATGCTCGAATTGATCAAATTCCAGGCGCACCACCGGACTCAAAAAAGTACATAAATTGTCGTTCAAACCAAGTGGGACACCAAAATTGATCCCGAAGCAGGTTAAAATGCCAGACGTGGCGAAGTGTGATGGAACTTTAGATCCGTAGGAGCATATCACCACATATACAATGGCAGTGAAGGGAAATGATTTAGCTCCTCACGAGATTAAGTCAGTCTTACTAAAAAAGTTCGTTCACACTCTGACGAAGGGACCCTGGTATGGTATTCTCTTTTGCTCGAGCACTCCACAAACACCTTTGAGTTGCTCACGAACTCTTTCATCAAGGCCCATACCAGGGCCAAAAAGGTACAAGCCTGAAAGACTGACATATTCAAGATTGAGCAATGAGAATCCAAGTTACTGCGAGAGTTTCTGACCAGATTCCAGAAGGAAAGGATGGTACTACCAGTAGTACCAGACTAATGGGCAGGTGAAGCATTCACCAAAGGTCTGAATCCGAGAAATTCCGACGCTTTCCGAAAATTGAAAGAAAGTTTGCTCGAGTTCCAAATAATAATTTAGGCAGATGTTCACAACTGGTATGAGTCAAAAATAAGAATTGAGTATGATCAACTCAGTTTCCTAGCGTCGACCATGGGTCGGGACTTGGAGAAGAATAAAGAGAAATTGAAAGATGATTTCAACAAATATCGATGGCCTTCAAGGGGTCGGTTCTTTCCCTACAAACGAGCCGAAGGACGTGACAGAAGTTTCCGGTTGGCAGATTAATTTGCTACTGATAGGAGAACTAATCACGACCAAAATAATAGGTCGTTCCATGACAAGGAGATGTCAGGTTCTCGAGATTCTTCCTACCTCAGGCTTTCCAAATACAATTTCAACATCAGCGTATTGGAGCTGGTGTTGTTTATGAGGAACATTAAAGAAGCACGATTCCTTAAGCCAATGAAATCTGATCCCAACCAAAGGGATCCTAACGGTCACTGGACTGGGGACTCTTGTCATCTACATGAAGAGGTGGCGACATTGCTGAAGAACGGCCATCTCATGGAATTTTTAAGTGATCGGGCTAAAAACAATTACGGCCTTAGTCACGATAAATACGGAGCATTAGAAAGAAGGAGAAGATCCTCCACGTTTGATGATTAATATGATTTTCAGGGTGTAAGAGATTAGTGGCGTGAGATTTTCGGCGGTAAAATAGACAAAGGTGTCGGTAACCCACAACAAAAGACTCCAGGAATTTTCCGAAGGCGACATTTCTTTCATGAAAAAGACGTAGATGGACTGCTGCTATTGCATAATGATGCCCTGGTAATCTCTATAAATGTCTTGGATTTTAAAATTAAATGTGTTCTGGTGGACCCCAGGAAGTTCGGTCAATATTATGTGGAGAGTGTTGGAGCATGACAAGCTCACCAGAAGTATCATTTCGGCCATAAAACTTCTCACTAGATTCAATTCGGCAAACATGACAACCCAAGGAGAGATCCTACTTCCCACAAATGCCGAGGGGTGATGAAGACACACTTTTTCGAGGTAGTAGACGGCGATAAGGGTTACAATATTATCTTGGGTAGACCACGGTTGCAATAGATGAAGGTTGTGCCATCAACATATCATTAGTTGTTGTAAGTCCTAACTCTCGAGGTAATTAAACAAATAAAAGGTGACCAACCGGCATTAGGGGAGATGAATGTAATTTCAGTCTCTAGAAGCAAATAGAAAGAACATGCGGCATAGCAATTACAAGAATCGACACCTACTCCCGATCTGCATGAAGCTAACTAGGGGGAAGAGTCGTCTAAATCCTATCAAGTACCAAGGTATTTCCATATACCAGAAGAGACGGACGCAACAAAGTCCATAGAGGAAGAACTTGAACAAGTCGCATTGTTTGAAAAGTTCGTGGAAAGGAAGTTCCACTTGTGGATAGGACTGCACCTTGAACTTAGGTCTAGATTTTTTAAATTTCTTAAATTTAACGTCAATTATTTTGCATAGTAGCATGCGGATATGAAAGATATCCCACCAGAAGTGGTCGTGCATATGTTAAGCCTAGACCCTAGCATCTTTTCGGTAAGACAGAAATAAGTCCTATTGCTGACGTCAAAAACAAATTTGTCAAAAAAGAGGTGACTCTCTTGCTTAATATTGGTTCAATCCGAGATGTAAAGTATCCTGACTGGCTAGCTAACATAGTAGTAGTTCCAAAGATGAATAATAAATTTTTCATGCGCATAGACTATAAGGATTTAAATAAGGTGTGCCCAAAAGACTCGTTCCCATTACCAAACATTGATCAAATGATTAATGCAATGGTCGGGCATGAGTTAACGAGTTTTCTTGATTCTTATTCTGGGTACAACAAGATTAAGATGAACCCAGAGGATCAGGAAAAAACCTCATTCATAACAAACTTCAGTACATATTGCTATAATGTGATGCCATTCGGACTAAAGAATGCCGGAGCCACGTATCAGTAGCTCGTGAACAAAATGTTTGAGAAACAAATAGGGAAAACCATGGAAGTTTACATAAATGATACGCTGGTTATGTCTTTGAATGCAGGTGATCATCTTAAACATTTGCAAGAAACCTTTGACATCTTAGGAATGCATAACATAAAGCTTAACCCCGAGAAGTGTGCGTTCGGGGTGAGCTCCGGTAAGTTCCTGTGATTCCTAGTGTCAGAAAGGGGGATCGAAGTTAACCTTTATAAAACTAAATCCATCATCTCGGATCAGCTATCAAGCATGAAGGAGGTTCAAAGGCTAACAGGGAGACTATTCGCTTTGAGCAGATTTATTTCTCGGTCTTCAAAGAGATACCATCATTTCTTCTCGCTGCTCAAAAAGAATAAAAATTTTGAATGGACCCTGGAGTGTCAGTAGGCTTTGAAGGATTTGAAAAGGTATTTCTCAAGTGCTCCATTGCTACCGAATTTGAGGAAGGAGAACAACTATTGAAATACTTAGCGGTCTTGGAGTTAGAGGTGAGTGCCATTTTAGTCCGTAAGGACAAAGGTACGCTATCTCCTATTTATTACGTTAGTAAAATTTTAACGGGACCTGAATCTCGCTTCCCACATCTGAAAAAATTATCCTTAGCTCTCGTAGTCGCCGCTCGAAGTTTAGGCCTTATTCCCAATGTCATCAAATTGTCACTGTAACTACTTTTCCGCTACGGAATATTCTTCATAAACCCAAACTTTCGAGTAGGTTGGCCAAGTGGGCC